CCGCGGAGCGCGGCTGAACGCGGGAGCCGCCGCGGCCGCCGGGAGTGCGGGACGTGAGATCCCCGGGCTGTAAACTTGGGACGTCTCGACTTCGATTTGACTGGCGGTCTCGTTGCGAAAGTGCTCAAGTGTTGGAGAAAAAAAACAAGAGAAAGTGTGCACGAGGCTTCGTCTCAGGAACATTAGACAGGAGCCTCCTATAAATTCAGTTGCACTGAAACAACCCTGATCTGAATGTCCCCTCTCGGATGGGAGGATGAAACTGTGGTGGAACAGCTTCTTTGTTTTGCTTAATGGAGTGGACTCTTTTAGTGTAAAGAGTGTCTGCTTAATATAGTTGGCTTTCTCATACCTCTGAGCACGTGTTTCATAGCAAAATGCCTCTGCTGCAAGGATTCAGCTGATTAACTGTTACTTGCTCTCCTAGACTTTATACCAGCATGTGTGCAAGGAAAAAGGTGTAGCTGTAGCTCAGGACACTTAAACTTTTTCTATGTTCGATAATATGATTTTTTTATTGTTATTTTAGTAAGTGCCTTGTAAATTTATGTATACTTTAAAAAGCAATCTTTTCATAATCTGAAGCTGAACACACTGACTCATCTTGCGTAAAGGTTTCTGCGGTGTTTGCCGGTTACTAGAGTTGTAATTCGTATAAAAAAAACTCGTGTCTGCAAAAAATAATCTTTCAAAGTTTATCTGTAAAGAGGCTGCAGAGGACCAGACTTTTTCGAAGGTTTTTTGTACTTACAGCATATACAAATCTGAACAACTAACAGTTCTTAGTTTAAGAAACTGAAAATTGTAACTGAAAGAGGAAGAGATTTTTAGTTAAATTGCTTACCTCTTTTTAATATGTGCCTAATTCAAATACTGAATTGATGTTCACTGTAGAACACTTAACCGTGGACTAGGCGCTTCTCCAGTTCAGTGATCTGCCTGTAGCATTTTAAGGTGCTTTCAAGTAGAAGAGAATGACCTTGAATTTGAGTTGTAAGAGGAGGGAAGTCTCAACTTCTGAAGTCCCAAGACCTGATTTTTTTCCCTCTCCTTTCTCCAGTCCTTTCACTTAAACAATTATGGATGACTATTTTATTGTTTACAGAATGGGTGGTACTCTTGCACTTTGGTTAATAATGTCTGCAAGGCTCTGTGCTAGTTATGCTAGTCTTCCTGTGTGTTAACTTCCGAGCAGTGCACCTTGATGCAAAACTTCAGAGAATATTGTAGTGGCAACAGTTGGAATTTGGTGGGTTCTGCTTCTTTTGCACCCCTCCCCTCCCTGATAGCTCAGTTGATGCATAGTACAGCTTAGGCAGTTCTGAACCTACTTGTAGCTTGATTAGCTGTTGTGCTGCTTTGATTTGCTGTCCTTCCAATAGAATAACATACAGGCCTCCAGAGTGATATGTCTCCAAAATGTTTGGAAGGGAGAAAAGGAGTGAAGAAGGTCTGATGTGTAGAGGAGTGGAGTTCTGGTATGGAGGCAAAATGAAAGAAGCTGGTATGAGTGATTACTTTCCCTCCTGTTGCTTTTTAAATCTATGTAAGAGAGGAAACTGGGAATATAGGGAAAAGGGAGGAAACTGAGGCTTGTACTCCTCTGGATAACTTCATTTTTTTTTATTTCAAGTATTTGTTTTATGCATTTTTGTAAAAGACCAGAAAACAGTTTTCAGTGGGTGCATATGGAAACGCAACTGCGTTGTCACCTGTGTAAGTATAACAGCATTGCTTTTTTATTTTTTTGTTAGGCTAGGATATGAGTAACAAAATTGCAATGCTTTATTAGCTCCATTTTTATGTATGTTACAGGTCTGGAAAAATGACAGTACTGACTTACGTATATTGAAAGGAAAATGCAACCAGTTGTTCTAAATCTGTAGACAATCAGCTATTTAATGTAATCAAGCATTTTGATGTTTTAGAAACACATTACAAAAATATTCTGTGGGATTTTTTTAATTGGTCTGCTCTATTCTGTGGTTCCCATATTGCTCTTAAATTTGAGTGCTGTTTAATTTGAAAATTGCAAGAGGTTTTTTCAATCAAGGATGACTCAATCGAAGCTAGTATTAACTTGTAAATGCCTTTGAAAGAGCACTTGTGTAGTTTTCTGTTTCAGAGGGTTCTGGCCCACTGCGCTTTCTGTGATTCCTGATTTTTGGTGTTCCTTTGGACATAGCTTAACTTTGTGCATTCATTCTGTATCTGTGAGTCTTGCTGCTGAAGTCTCGATTCTCTTGAGTGAGCAATGATGTGTCTGTTACTTGAGTCCTCCAAAAGGGTTGGGATCATAGTCATAAATCAACTTCTTCTTAATCTATGGGAATAAGCTATCAAAGAGGTATGGAATACATTGTTTAATATGGTTTTTAAACCAGAAAATTGATTGTAATCAAGATTCTTTATTGGCCTGAATAAGGATAGTTCAGACTTCTTAAATCCAGGAGGAACTTGCTGATCACTGTGCCTCCCCCCCCACCTCACTAGGTCCACTCTTCCCCCGCCCCCCAGTGAGTGCAAAGTGATGTAATCCTTTCTGAGCATGCAACCTGTTGAAGTTGTGCTGATCGCGTCAGCGGTTGGCGGGGCGGCCGCCAGGGGCCGCCGCCGGGGCTGCTCGGGCCCTTGCCCGCTGCAGCCCTGCTGCCCCGGCCCTGCCGAGGGTGAAGGCCGTGCGACTCCTCTCCGGAGGGAGCAGGGGGTGCTTGTGTTATGTTTGAATCAGTATGTTACTTGATCTGTCGGCTGACTTATGAACGCTGAAGGGGAAAAAAAGTGTTTTTCTTAAAAGAGATAAGAGAAGCAGGTTCAAAGGAATACTCTGAATATGTCCATGCTGCGGTCACTGAAAGGAGAGTAAAGCTAAACTGGGTCTCTTGATACTAAAACCTGCTGTTTTGACACTGTTGCAATGATTAAGATGACAGTGTAGACATTTTAAAATTGAGGTTCTTTTCTTTCAGTTCTGGGCATTTGATAGTGCATTTAGGGGCACGCTTTCTATAGATGAAAGATCTGTGCAGCAATGAGGCCAAAAAAGGAGAAAATAATCGTTAATTTCCATTCTTTAATCACAAATGGATGGGTCTTTTAAGTACTTCACTGTTCCATCACAGCTCTGTCAATACTACATCCAATCTATCATTCTCAAGACAGGTAATAGTATCAGTATACTAGTGATGTAAAGTTGATGTATTGTAGGATGACAGCAAGTGTCATGCTTCCATAGTCATGCTGTTTGTGTTTAACTTCTATCCCTTTGGGCTTACTTTGAGCTGTGTTTTTGTTCTGATATAGTGATGAATGTACAGAGGATTAAAATGCATGTATGAGCAGACCAGACCTTAAAGGGGCTTTGTTCCTGTTGCGATCTGGTTTCAGGCCCTGAAAGCATCATGCTTTGGGACGGCAGCCTCTTTAGTGGTTAGTGGTTTTTTGGCACTTGAAGTTCAAAAGTAAAATCTTGAATGTAGTAATATCCTATCTACCCTCTCTGAAACTCAATCTTTATGCTTTGTAGTGTGATGTAACAAAAAAGAAAAATAAAAGTCCTCTTTTTACATAAGGTGCAGACTAATCACAACGAGGTTACTTGATTTCAAATGCTGTCAAATATGTAAAATCCTCTAAGTAAAACTAAATGTTATTCCAAATATATTGTTTTTTAAGAAAGCTTTCCTGTGAAGTATTTGAAAGTATCCTTTTAAATGTGGACACTTTCCTAGATACTGAAATGCTTAAAAACACATAGCCTATGTGTGATGATATTGGTCTCAGTTATCAAAGAAGACTCTTGTTGTGGCCATAACACTTACTAGAAGAGGGAAAACCTTTTCAAATTCTGCTTGCTTGGGCCTAGCCGTGATGATGCTGTCTGGAGTGCCAGCTTTTCTGGTTCGGGACAAATAGCTCAAAAGAAAACTAATTGTCAAAGGGCACTTTTGCCTCTTTAACAGCGTTGTTTTAAAGCAGACACCAAAAATGTTGTCATCTTAGCACTGCTGCCAAACAGAGCTCAAAATGCTTAGTTTCTTATGACCTAGCTTATCAGTGCTTTTCATATACTTCTGGAAGAATCTTTCCTGAAAAATTGAGTGATATTTTGGACCTTTAGAGTTGTGATTTGAAAAGGATCCATCAGCTATCTCCTTCTCATTTCTCTTTGTGAAAGTGTAATGAGGACACCTGGATTTGAAAGGCCTATTTGAAACTTTACAGAAGAGACTATCTAAAGATGGCTTTTTAAAATCACAGAGCAAAGTAAATGAAAAGCTCAGCTCTTTATGATCAGAGTGGTGTGATAGTAGTGGTATCTGTAGTTATTGTAACTGTATGATCTGAACCCCTTTCCTGTTGGAGGAGGGAAGGTAATAGTAAAACTAGAAGCTTATGAAGATTGTGTGGAAGGTGAAACTTGGATGCTGAGATAGGTGGGAGAATGTAAAATGTATATGTTACCCAATGAAGGAAGGGAATCTATTCAGTGTGGACTGTGTGGTTGTGTTTCAGTTATGGTCAACTATTCAAACATAACCTAAGAACATAAATTAATACCTTTGAGGGCTTTTTAAACGCTCAAATAGCAGATGATCACCATTTAACAGCGTTGTCAGCTGTGGTCAGTAGGGGTGAGGTGACTGAGTAATTCCCACTGCAGCGAGAAGTTCTGCCAAATAAAAACAGTGCAGTGTCAGACTTTCTGCAGTTTTAGACTCTTGAATTTGGGATGCTTCTCATCAATATCATGGTATAATATCAGTCATATTCCAATGAAATAGACCCAAACGTCCTGTTGAAGTAATTTAGTCTAGCACTGCATGTCAGCTGTTCAGCAAGGATGCGAACACAAGCCAGATCTCCAGGTCAGCATTTGCTTGAGTGAGCCACAGGACCATCTGTTAGTTTAGTTTCTTGTTTTGCTTCTTATTCTGAATTTTCACTGTTTCACCAGATTCTCTGGAAACAGCTCTTCACCCATGCAGCATTCATCTGTTTCCAGAGCAGATATGCAGATACGTTAGCTTCACTGAGTAAAATAGAACTGGGGGGGAGGACGGGGTATAGTCCCTAATCTTATCATATAGGACTATTACCATACACAAGCATGGAAATTAAAGCCTGGCACTTGATAACTGAGGCTGAAAGGTAAAATTCTCAAAGTCCGATGCATTAACCTCTCTGAATTATCAATGCATAATTTTCTTTTCATTGTTTATTTTGTCTGTCATGTAGCTTTTGGTAAGTATTGATTCAAAGTATTTGAGGTCAGGAAGTTCAGTAGACTTGGTAAAATTATTCTCCTACAGAAAATGTTTGTCTATGAGAGAGTAAAAAATATAGTGGGAATACAGACACCTATATTTCAAAGTCTATTGTTGACACTTGGCACATGCAGTTCCTTATCTCTTCCCCTGCCTTCATAGAAACACGGATATTTGCTGATACCGTGCAGACTGGAGAACTGAAGTGCGTTCTGTTGACACAGTTTGGGCTATCTTAGCTTGTCTTAACCTCGTTCAGAGAAACAGTAAAGAAGCTCTGAGCCTTTCTGTTGGTAGTGGTGAAGCTGCACCTGCTTAGGATTAAAGCCCTCAAGTAGGTGCTGTTTAACTGTTGGGATTTGAGAATGCTTCTTTTGTATGATGTTCTGTAGTTATCTGTTACATTATTTAATGACTTTGTCAGTGTTATTCAGCACTACTCCACCAAACACAAATAGAACTGAACTGGTAAACGTAGCAGCAGAAAGTATCTTGATAACCTGGTCTGTGACTTTTGGGTTCCTATTCCGCAGGACGACCAAAGATGAGGTGAAGGATACCTTCCAGGTCTGAGTCCCCATAACTTGCATTTTTTTTTCCCCTCCTTTCCTGTTAGTGAGAGGCGAACGCTTTTTGTTGTGGAGTGATGAGTGTTGCATGTCTGAGCAGAACTTCTCCTATGTTCTTGGTTTTCCTGTTGCTGTGTGGGAGCCCCGTGCTTATAATTCACTTCAATAACTTGTTTGAAAGATTGGGGCCTAGTTATCTGAAACTGAGCCTGACAGATGTCACTACCAAATTGTGATCTAGATGGTATGAACAAATCTCTCAAGTGTTTAGTATGCAGATCCTCTTTCATCTCCCGTTTTCTAGAAAATGACAATGACTGTGGAAATATTAAAAAAAGTGTGTGTGTGTATATATATATCTCTATATATATGCTGCTAGTTCTAGTTGGGATTGCAATATATTCAGATAGGTATTTATTGATCTGGGGATAGTGTTGGAAGGAATATATGAGGTTATAGGCAGAATGATCAGTTGCACCGCTTACCAAATGCTAGCATTCAGTACAATTTTAAACAGTTCACCTCTGCACCACAGTAAGACAATTTTAGTTGTACTAACAGAACTGTTCCTCGTTCTGCATTGTGACCAGACCAGGAAACTCTTTTTTTTCTTGATTTGCAAAGATGAATTTTAAAGCCAGATCTTTGATCTAGTTTACAGTGTAGTCCCATGGGTAAGCAGTGATGGCACATAGGAACTGCAGCTCATTAGTTGCAGTTAATAAGATTCCTGTAAAACATCCAGTAGAACACTGAGCAGTTTTTCTGGTGTATGCTATTAGAGTGTCGCCTCTTCTGTGGTCTGTAGTAATACCAGTGCGACAATGTATTAAATTAGGTTAAAATTAGGTTAAACTAGTTACTTAAGTGTCATTGGAATGTTGATTTCCTGCACCTTGCGAGTTTTCTTCTGAAATATGGAAGTATCTTAGTTAATCTGATTGCTAGCTCCGCATTGCTGTACATATCAATAGCCTGAATATTTTCAAACAAGACAATCCAGCGTATGTTTTAGAATTTTTTTAGTAATCTAGAGAAAATGCACAGAATATGAAATGCGTGTTAAAGTTAATGTGACAATGCTATTTAAAGCTAAGAATGACCAACAGATTCAAAAGTAAACACAGTGTAAAAGTCTTATATAGCCACAGATTGGTTGGTTTTTATGTACTAGATACTTGGTTTCAGTTGTTTCAAAAGCTAATTAAATTAATAAAGCAATAGAAAGATAAGTGAGGTGTAAATATGGCACTTCAGTGATCATATCCTTTCCTTGGGCTGTTTGGAATCTGTTTCTTAATTTTAGCAAATAGCATGAACTGTCAGTCTGTGTTTCATCAGCTATTTTTCTTTAAGTCCGTTATGCTGGGATTTTCTCAGTCCAAGAGTTCAAGAAATCCTGTTTTATTTGGACTATATAATAGCCAGTTTTATCTGAGAGATCCTTGTTTAGCTTTAAAATATCAAGATTTTCAAGGCAAGACCAAGCTGGCATGTCAGATATTGACCTGTCACTATGGCTAGCTACTGTTGACTCGCATCAGTCAGTCTTCTGGTAGTCTATAGTGCTGTCATACTAAATAGAACCAGAAACAACTGTTAGTAGTGGGTGACTGTCATGAGGGATCTGTATCTGAAACCCCTATAGTAGTTACTAGAAGACCATGCCAGCTCTTCTGGGCAACCATGGTGAGGTGTATATTAGGTGTATACCTTGTGTCTGTTTATATCGTACAACTGTGAGATGCTGCTTTGAAATAAGTCGTACCTGTATCAAGATTGTTCTTAGCTGCGAACAAGCTGTTCCCTAAGCATATTTCTTCTGTCTTTCTTCCTCGTTCTCTTGCAGACCTTGGAGCTTGGAAATGTCTATTGTAGTAATAAAGGCTTCCCAAGTTGAACAAATGTTATGATCGCTCTGTTTGGATATAGCAGAAACTGCTAATTCAGGAATAGCATCTTGGCAGATTATGTTGATGACAATCTGTAGATGGTGGTGGTATGTTGCCAACTGTTCTAGTAGTGTTGCCAGAGTTGGGTTTAGGATTTGTAGAGCTACAGTAGCAGCGGCCTAAGCAGACAGGCAGGACTGTGCATCTTTGAGGATGATTTTGGTTTTGCCTTTCCTGCACCCCATTCATAACTTCACAGAATCTTGCAGAGAACACCAGAGTAAGAGAGCAAATAGTGGGAACTCTGGGAGGATGTGGATACTGTTAAATCGCGTTGGAGGAAGAAGTGTTGACCCACTAGGTAGAAGAATAATATGAAGAAATGCAAATTGAACATATTTTGCAGTTCAGAGTAGCAATGATAAACTGTTTTGGTGTTTGGAAAAATGTATTTAACTGTGTCAGTCCAAATCTACTGGTGTCAAACTTGGCAGTTGTGACAAGGGATTTGCCATTACTGGCTCAGAGTGCAGGCATGATGCATTGTTTGGACTTCAGGTATAGTCCTCAGAAAACTTGTAGAGAAACTTCTAAAACCATCTCTCTCAGTCATAAGAAAGAAATCCCTTCTTTTTATATGCTTGAAGTTTAAATTTAAACACAGGATCAGAATAATTGGTGAGACTTTTGCTGTAGAGTAGCCTTGTAACAGATACTTCCTTTTATAAGTAGGAAACTTGCACACATTTGCTTATTGGATGTAAGTACTTGAAGTGTTTCACGTAGGCTTTGTTTCACATAGGCTTTACTATGGTGCAGCAGGGGGAGAATGTCATTACTCTTCTGTTATTCTTGTATGGTTAGGACTTTCGTCCCTTCCTGCGACCTCAGAAGAGACACTTAAGTGTTCTGTATTAACTGGAAAGTCTTATTTTTGTTGTTGTTTGTTTGTTTCTCGTCCCTCCCACACAGAAAGCCACAAAGAAAACTGACAAACCCAGGCCAGAGGAGAAGGATGACCTAGATGTAACAGAGCTCAGTAATGAAGATCTTCAAGAGCATCTTGTGAAGTATGGAATAAATCCTGGCCCGATTGTAGGTAGGTCAACTGAACTAGCAAATACTCATCACTTCAATATGTTATTTATAATATATCTTTAAACTTCACCTCTGAGTACTCTAAACCTCTCTGATATGGTTGCTTATTAAATTTCATATCAATACTGTTGCAGTTTTATTTCCCACTTACAGTTTTTTCATTGGACTGTTTACACTGAAAAGACTTGAAGCGTTGCTATGTAGGCAACTGCACAGTTTGTTCCTCTTGAGTTCTGGGCCAGCTGGACATTTTCCAACTTCTGTTTTGAAGCTGTGTAACTGTTAGTTAAAGTTCAGTGCTGTGGTAATATGGCTTTCTGATACAGAGTTTGAGATCTGGGGCCTGCTTAAGTAGAAAATACATCTCTTAGTTAATAACTTAATAGCATTGAGAACAGATTAGGATCTTCCCCTTCCCTGGAGCATTCCTTGCTAGCTGCACTGTGCAGTAATGTTTTACTTTAGTTATTCTTTCTGGCCTCTTGAATCTTGTTACATACAGGCCAGCTTCAGGAGGTGGTCTAGGGAGCAGCCCTGTCCCCAGCTTAGCCTCTTGCCCTTAGGTGCTCCCCTGTGATGTGAGGATCAGAACTTCTCATCTTTCAGATTGTGCAGTAGCCTGATGGCAAGATAGTTTGCTTTCGCAGCTCTTCAGCAGATGATGGTTTCCTGTAGCATGCTGAACCTTCTGTGAAGTGAACTCCAAATCCTGAGTGGATGAAAGTGCTAGTGGTGGAGTCTGGAGTGCAGTGATAAGACTATCTGGAGTCAGATAGGCTTGCGCATAATATATTCTGTTAGCTATTTCTGTATGCCTTCCCATTTAGCCAGTTCCTCTTGGGTAGCATTTGAATAAGTCTTCTAAAAAATTCGAACACCTATATAGTTCACTGGAAAAACGTTCAGATATGGGGATAAGTAAAAGACCTGGCTCTGTCTTGTGAGAGACTGCCACTTCTTTTAACAGAAGGCTTCCTCTTGGAAGATTTCAAATAAGGTTAGACATCTTTGCAGCTAACAATTTGGACACTGGTGACTTCTACAAACTTTTGCCGGAGCAGTCCTGATGTGGAATTATACGCTGGACTTCATACTTTCTGATCTTAAACAGATGTCCCATTAGATCAAGTGAGGCAGTCTAACACGTAGTTGCTGCAAATGGAAAGTTCTGTTCTTGCTGCTCGTTTATACCAACTCTGCTTATTGACCTGAACTTGCTACTATTTACTAAGGTTAAACTAAGGGAGGCGGGTAGGAGAAGGTAATTCCAGGATAAAGAAGTAAGAGAATAGCAGTGGACTCTGCCTGGAAACTGTCAGCCTTGCAGCATCTGCCTCATTAAATTTCTATGAGGGACTGGCAATTTCTGCATTGCAGCTTAAGAAACAAAACTTCTGAAACAGGTACGTTTGCCTTCCATAGGTAAATGCTTGTAATTATTAGGGTACTAACAGGCCTCATTCTGTCTTGAACCAAAACTTTATCTACCTTAGGGGTAGATACCTAGTGGTATATACTTTGGCCATACAAACTGATCAAAACAATAAGCATAAGTAGTCGCCCTTTGAAATTCCCAAAGGAAAAAGAGCAAAGATCTAGCAGTTAAGTGGGGAAGGATGGCTTTAGTGTGTATCCATCTTTAGTGTGTATCCTTCCTTTTTGCAGCTACTACCAGGAAGCTTTATGAGAAGAAGCTGTTGAAACTAATGGAGCATGGTCCAGAGCTGAAGTCAGCTGTGCCTCTCCCAACAATCTCTTCCTCTGCTGAGAACACCAGACAGAATGGAAATAACGATTCTGACCAGTACAGTGACAATGAAGAAGGTAAGACTGAAGTGGAACTTGCATGTGAACTATTCAAGTTACATCAATAGTAGTTGCAGTAGAAGCAGCTCTAAAATTTAAAGAGGACACAATCTGCTGTTAGTTGAGATTTCAGGAAATATTGCTGTAGACCACGTGTTCCAATGCTTCACTTCAGAGTATTGGCATGGTGATCCAGCAGGAACCTGTTCTGTGAAAGGAAAGGTCTTAGTAGTAAAAAACTTCCGTCTTTTGACTGCTTTTCCCCATGGAATTGAGTCTGTAAATCTGATAGATAGCAGAACTGTCATATCCAAAAGTGTTTCAATGTTCTTTGCACTTCATCTTTTAGCAAATTTTGTCTAATGTCCACAGCAGTTACTTGTTACTTATTCCACTATCCTGGAATAAAGTTTATTACACTTTTGTACGTTTTTAGTGTCGCTTAATATTTCTTTTGTGCATGACTTAATCCTTCTTATGCTCTATTCCTTGTGGACTTAGTGTGGGTGGGTTGCATGATTTGATTTAGGTTTGCGGGGTTTTTTCTTTTTCCCCCTTTTGGTGTTTGAATATCAAGTTTATATCCAAAAAGTGTGGGGGAACGTGGATCTGAGGTGGGGAAGGAGCCTGAAAACACACCATGGTGCATCTTACAAGAGGTAGAAACAATATATACTTTAAAGATGCACCTGGATGGAATGCTTAAAGGGGAATATCTTGGGTTTTTTGTTAGGAACTTGAGATAGGTCAAAAAAAGCTGAAATATGAATAGGGACTTGAGTATTTGATTAGATCTGCCTTGTATATTTGGACTTGGTTTTGAAACTTGAATTTTTGCAATTTCTAATTGGGAATACTGAAAATTGGGGGGTAAAAGAAGAGATTTTTAAGGACAGCTGAGAACCCGGGGTAACTGACAGCTATCTCCTATTTAAGCATGCTTCAGCTAATCAACAAACTTCAAACACTGAAGGAAAAAACAAGAACAGGTTCTATATATTAGTGGTTAAGAAGCTAAGAGACCTTAATAGCTAAAATTTAAATCTCTTGGGGTAATGCTATTAGAGTTTTAGAAGGGGGTGGTGGAAATAATGCATCTTCTTACTGGTAATATGACTGCTGACCACTTGCTCTTCCTTCAAAATAAAATGGAGTTTTATGTATGAATACTTATGTTAGAAGGAAACTAAAATGAAAGCCTAGATGTGTGGTATTGGAAGCATTCAGTCCCATTACCAAAACTAAATGGTATAATGGCACTTCAGTTAAAGTAATTACAGCTTGACAACAATTTCTAAATATAACTACTGGATTAATCAAAACTTATCAGAAACGTAGGATTTTTTTTTTAGGACCCAACTGAAATATTTAAGTCAGTATTTTAAAGTGATTCTTAAGGTTCTTCTTCAGAAGACTTTGTTCTTGCCCATTCAATGGAAGAACTCACTTCTGTTTCACTTTTTTTTTTTTAAATAAACATTTATTCAAAGTAATGTTGGCTCTTAAAATGAATTCTATTAAAGCACAGATTGGTTTACAATACTACTGATGGTTTTATCAATGTATTGTTAACATTCTATTAAAATGGGTTACACGAAAACTTGGAATAAAAAGGCAAGCAGGTTCTCTTCCTGGGTTTTTTTGGTGTTTTCAGCTGTCAAAATAATGATTGTTTTCTTCCTAGATCCGAAGACTGAGCTGAGGCTTGAGAAGAGAGAACCACTAAAAGCCAAGGCAAAGGCTCCAGTAGGACTCAAACAGAGAAGAGTTGTGGAACACAACCAGGTATGTTTATTTTAGTGGCTTCTAGAACAGCTACTAACTGCAGGTATCTCTCTAAGCACCTTATGTCTTTTAATATAATCAAATGTGACTAAGTGGGCTATGCTATTTGTAACAATTTTTTCAGAAGTCTGGTTTTAATACAGCATGAAAAATTTGAACTAACTCTATAGCTGCTATTTGTCTAATGTTGCCTGTCTGATAGCGGACCATCATTTTGAACGTTAAAAATATTTGTCTGGCTTGCTAGCCTCTGTAGCCGCTCTTATAAAACTGGCAACCTGGCAGACTTTTAAGCCAAGAGAACTGATGTTGTGTTGTATGTTTGTAAACAAGTTAATTCAACAAAAGTAATTCAACAGTTTCTCAAAGCAAGGCTGGAAAAAAATAGATATCTCTCCTCCTCATCCTCCACCACGCTGGTAGCAGTGGTACTTAAAACAGACCTTTTAAATTGTTGGAAAGGTAGCTCTTAGAGGAGAAGTGATAAATAATTATTTGAGTCTCATTCTGTTTACCCTTTGTCCTTAGCTTTAAATAGTGTTATTAGTTTTCTTGCTCTCGTGGAGGAGGAATCTTGCAGAAGCACTTCAAATATTTGAAGCCCTGACTGAACGTTGAACAGATCAGCAACCAACTACTGAATCTTTATGATGTGACAGTGTCACTAAATATCCTGTTGCCCCCCTTAGATTATTTAGTGTTATAGTATCATTCACAGTCTGACCAGTAAGTTATAGAATCGCGCTGCAGTATGGACTTACCTAGAAAACCTTTTAGAGGGACACAGAATCTGACCTGTTAATAGTTTGAGTTATCTCAGCAGCTCAGCAACTTTTGTCACTACTTTGTAGTATGGTAAATGCTAAATCCTTCCTACATAGAAAATGTGTGTGTGCGTAAGCATGCGTGTGCTATGAGTGTCTCTTAAAGCTGGCTGGCAGCATACTGCTATGTGAGCTTGAGTAATAAAATACAAAGTTATGGAGCTCTAAGTAGTTCTGCTTATTTTTAATTAGATTCTTAGGGGTGCAAACTGAACTGATTTCACTTCTACTAAAAGGCAGGGTTTGAGAACACATAATATATTCTTTAACTTATTCAGGCAACTTCCATCCAAGATAGTCTTTATAGTGGACATGTGAATCTGAAGAGCCTAATATTTTAAGGATTACTTTTTTCTAAATTGCTGTTCATCTAAAAGTCCCTGTCAACTTCAGTATGATGGAGGCATTTAATTTGGCCATCAATAAATTAAGCTTCCTAATCCTCAGGAACATAGATCACTACAGCAACTACTTCCACATGTCCCCCCTCCTACTGGTATTTTTGTGACGTTTTTAAGCGTTCAGCGCTCATTCGATTTTTCTATCGTCCAATTTCACTGTATTAACATTAGGTCATTACTCTGTTTTCTCTTGCACCCTTTTACATGTTTATTACAGATGTAATTAGAATATGTAAGCTGCAAAGTATTACAAGTAGTTAATCAAAGGAGTATCACTTGTTCACTCTGAAATAAGTTCTTTTCAGATTAATGTCGAATTCTTCAATAACTTGCAAAACCTACTACTTTTTGACTCTTGATTGCTGTGTAAAATTTACAACTGCACAGAGCCCAGAAGGCACAAAACTCAAATATTTTGGTCTAATAAATGTGCCAAAATACATAACCATATATTTTGCTGAAATGAAAGATGGGGAAGAAAATGATACTGTGTTTTGTGTTGGGGAATGTGTGGGGGGGGGGGGGGTAGTGAGAAATCGGATGTTAAGAGTACAGCTAACATGTCAGGTAACTGTACTTGTTCTGCAGTACTGTATGCAACTCCTGTTCACTGTGTGGCATTGGCTGAAAGGTTATAAGGCTTTGAAGAGTGGTGGGGCTGTATTGTTTGGTACTGTGGTGTGAGCAGACTAGCATGTCTCTTCTAGGCTCTTTACAGCATTATTCTTAGTCCAGACACGTACGGCTGAAAGGATTTTTGTCCATGTCACCTGGTGCTTAACTATAGACTTGGCACTGATGAATATTGCTGTTCACTTTTCCTAAGAGTGCAGATAGAAAGGCTTTTATGGGTATTAAAACATGCAACTTTGTAGCTTTTGAAATATGAATGTTATGTGGCGTGCACCTGATAAAAGCATAGACTAGAAGAGGTAGATGATAGCTGAGGTAACGTCATAATCCGTAGCTTTACTGCTCATGAGTACTGTGACAGTTAAAAGCACATGCTGAATAATATGCTTGTACCACACCTCTGTAGCTGTTGCCCTGATTATATTACAGTGATGTTGGTGTATCTAAACCTGTGTATTGCATTTTAATAGGGTTTATTTAGTTCAGTTGTTTGTGGGATAAGCAGAGAATGCCTGTTTGGTTGAAAGTGAGGATAACCACAGCAAAAGACTGCAGTGTTTTTGTCCCTTAAATATACCCTGCTGAAGTTTGGTTGGGTCTCATGCAGTAGATTCTGGTGTTTCTAGACTTCTCATGCCAGATTTCCCTGGTACTTAAAACGTGACTGACAAACTAAGGAGACAGGAGCTGATTTACTGCAGTGCTTTTAACTTTATGTTTATACACACACACATATATAGTTCTTAGTCACAGCTTGGGGTAGGAGAACTCTCCGTTAGAGTGAGGGGATTGCCTTACTGCTTGTTTGCCATTCTAAAATGTGTTTGAGTGGAACCACTCCGAAGTTAGTGGTTTTTCTAAGCCTCAAAAAAACCCCCCCTGCCAATAGAAATTGGGGGAGAGTAGTATGTTTGGAGGTTGCAGGTGAAGCTTTTTTAACGAGGAGGGTTAAGAAGCCAGTGTCTGAAAATGTAAAGAGGGAATGGGAGACCTTTCGTCAGATATCTATTTAAATGTAAAGAAATATTGGAGATTTAGGCTGATGTCTAAAATTCTGTATGAAACTTCAGAATCTATTTGGACTTGAGGTCTCTAAATATACATCATTTAGTTTTCAAAACATATCAGTCACCTGTAAGCAAAGCAAAACAACTTGTGCTCCCTCTGCTGGATATGTAGCAGCTGTAATATCAAACTTCATATATATAGAAACTTAAAGTTGCTCACCTTCTAGTTTAATCAGAATAACTTGGAAGATACAAGTGGGGAATTTGAAATAAGGTGTTGCTAGGCGTTTCATTCATTCAAATTTCGCAGTTCATGTTGTTGTTTAGGTTTAGTGATCTGTTTTCAGCTTGATCACTTGGAAACAGTGAAGTGAAATTTGTGTAATCTTAATTCTATGTGGAAACTTTTAAGACTATAAAAGGTGTCCATGCTGAGTGTCCCCCCCCAAGGTGACTGGAAACTAGGTCCTGTTGAAATGCGGGTGGCTCTGCCCAAACAATCTAAATCATTCCCATCGCTGCTTGTAAGAATAGACTCTTACCTGGGTAGAGAATGGGGTAATGTTTTCCACACGTGCCTGTAGATTTATCTTTTTGTGTAGACAGGCAATGTAATGGGATTGAAAGTTAGCATATCCACTGTACAAAATTTTCATGCAACTACTTGTAGCACAAGTTATTTCACATTACTACTATGAGCAGATTGTCAGTTCTGTTTTTATTGTTGAGCATTATCTAGTCAATATTGTATTGAGAAAATAATGCTCTCAAGATAAGTATTGTGCTCAACAGTACTGATCTAGCTAGCTACACGTTATTGAATGCTGTGGGATCCAAGGGACTTTTTTGGCTGGCAGACACATTGCTTCTGGAATATGCATGCTACTTGGCTTTTGGTTATGGGTATCCAATGTTGAGACCTGGCTTTCATGTGTTTGATAATGTGTTTGATGCTTGAATAGACCTATTCTCAAGATGGAGTTACTGAGACTGTCTGGACAAGTGGATCTTCAAAAAGTGGACCTCTGCAGGCATTTTCTAGGGAGTCTACAAGAGTGTCAAGAAGAACACCAAGGAAAAGGGTGATGAGAGGCTTATTATAATAGACACTTTTTTCCCCCCTCACTGTTAGGTTCCAGTGGCTATTTTATTCAACTGTTTTCTTTTGTTTGTTTAAATAAACAGGTGGATGCTACAGCACAATTGCCTGTAGATGATGCTGTAATGTCAGAGAGTACTCCCATAGCTGAAACTATACTGACTGCAAGCAACGAGACCCTAGTAAATATGCTTAGTAAATATACTTAAAGTATGCAAGTGGTATTCTTCTGTAGTGTACATTTACTGACAGAATCATTGTTTTAAACAGATAATCTTACTTTCTTTAAAACACTCTTGTATTCGTTAGTCTTTGAACCTACTTGTTCAGTATCTATATTAGTGCCTAATGTTGCTCACTTTGAGATGGGACTCGGTAGACACCTAGGCCCCATCTAGTTCCTTTTTGGAGGGAGGGTTGAGGAGAACTATTTTTCAATCCTTAATCTTTTCATTTATTTAATTATGTGCAGAGTATCTGCTTTAAAGTTGGGCTTTCTTGTGAACTAAATAGCTTTTGTGTTTCTAAATGGCTTGAAAGAAACTATTTGGAATGACAAGCAAGGTGCTTACTATGCTTATTTCAGAGTATCTGTTACGTAACCTTCTTGAGTTAACTCTTAACATGCTTATATTCAATGCACATGAAGATCTTACTGTTTGGTTCTTCTTCCTTCCTTCCCCCCCCCTTTTGTATTTTGGCTAATTCTGAGTCTGAACAATTTTGAATTTCGGCAGGTTGTCAATAGGGTGTCCGGAAATTTCAAGCATGCAGCTCCTACACTGTCAATCAGTGAGTTCTCAGACATGCCCAGAAGAACACCAAAGAAACCATTGATGACAGCTGAAGTAAATAAATTAAAACTTAGATTGCTATTGCTTACTCTCTGTGAACAAGGTTCTTGTGTGTATGTTTTTACTGACTAGAACAGAAGGGGTGGAGGGTGTCGTTGCCCAGGTAGCATGATAGTCAAGCTGAACTATATTATCATGTGACATAACATGAGAATGTAAACTTATTTTACCTTTTCAGATTTTATAATTTACAAAAGAAAAAAATCCTGCTTTGTTTCAAGCCAAGTATGTTTTGGAGTGTTATGTCTGCTTGTGCCATTTTTTTTTCAATACAGAACGTCAGGTTTTCTTTGAAATTGTTTAAATAGCTCAAAGACAGAGCAGAACTGGATTGTATGGCTTTGATCTTGTAAATCAATCTATCCTGAAAAACTGTAATCTGGCTTAATTTAGGGAATCAAATAGCAGGATACTTTAGTCTAAAGCCTGAATTTTAAAAGCACACAAGCAGATTCCTGCCAGTTATCGAGAAAGTAGAATAATTCTTCTACTTTGTTAACCTATTCAAGCTTTCCAAATCATTTATCTCTTGGAAAACTGTCTAAAACACAAAAATATATATTTGCATTGCATGTAATACTATAGTGTTATGGAATTTTATTTTGCAAAATCATGCTTGGCTGAATTTAGAGTTCATTGCTTCACATAGTTTCCGTAGATAAAACTTGCATTAATGCTTGTAAAGGCTACTTTACAAGTAGATCTTATGATTTTATGAAGTGGGCTACTTCATTGATTTAGAAAGTGAGTGACTGCAATTCTGACTTAACTGTCAGGCAAAAGTGTGTGGGAAGACTTGGTGTTCTCTTATTTCACACTGCATAAATCTTTTCAGTTAGTGTTTTACTGCAGCGTTGTTTATTACAGCAAGAAGAGACAGACTGCCAGCATCAATACTTTTCTAATCATGTGGGCCACAAACAATCCTGTGATCTGCTCAACACAGCCATGATAGAGGTGATGGTTAAGTTTTTTGATCAGCTAGATCATTGGCTGTCAGGTGTATTCATTATTTATACAGAGTATCCTTTATCTTAAAGGAAACTGAGGAGAGCACTGAATGCGTTATGATACCAAAAGTGACCAGACAGCTGCCAGTAACAAAGGTTAAACCCACTTTTAAAACTCAAGAAATAAACTTCTTAAATATCACTGGGTGACTGAGATTCTTCTTTACAAATTGCACATGGTTATGGTTACTGAGATAGCTATGCAGGAGCTTTTTGTTCTGAGGTTTGTTAGGCCTATAACTTTTTGTTTTTCTAGGTGCTGGAGAGAACTCATACAGAAGAGAGACGAGTAGAAAGGGATATTCTTAAGGAAATGTTCCCTTACGAAGTATCAACGCCTACAGGAATTAGGTAATATTGAGATTTATTGGGGGAGGGGAAGGAGCAGGGGGGAGTTGTTCATCAGTTCTTGTAAACCTATGTAAGCTGGGAAGTGTTTTTGATTATCTTACTAGATTTCTAAGCAACTTCTTTTGCCTTCTGGCTCAATTACAATTGAGATGACGACCTAGCTCTTCTATTTTATTTTAAGAACATAGTTTTGTTAGCCAAGACAGCTTTTTCTTTATTTAAATTTGGGGTGGGGGTAACAGCAGTAGTAATTATTACTGCTATTATTATTAAATATAACTTCTAGATACTGGAAGTTGAATGGAAAGGGGTTTTCTATGTGGTAATGTTTCACAAGATTTAAGTTTTTTAGCTAGGCACAACTGTCTTTGACTTCCTTTTAGATTAAGGAGAGGTCTTCCAGCATAGACTTCAGGTTCCTCCTAGAAAGCCAAAGAGGATTTTTAAGTACCTTTTTTCTTTTAAGTAATAGTCCTGTTACAGTTAAGGACTACCCTTAATTCGAATAAGGGTGGTACCTAGGAAGGGTTATTAAGTTGCTCTTTGCAGCTTTGTATTTAAATAAAAAATGAAACGGTGCTCCCTCCCCAACCCTCTGGATAATTAGGCATTCTGTTTTTCTACTGTAGTTTGTTTCACAAAACCTTGACTTGTCCCTGTTAAGGGAATATGAAAAAAGTTTCCCAATGGTTAGATAATGGGAAATCAACTCTAAATTATGCTGTTTAGCATTCTTATTTCAATATAATCTGCAATTGCATAAAGTCTTAACATAAGAAGAGTATATGGAACAGTCACTGTTTCTGTGGAATTTCTTCTTATCACTCAGCTTTTTCCCCTTGTCTTAGGTTTATCAGTAGTTAAATCTATACCACTCTTTTGTATAGAATAATCATACATGTATGTTGCTTGCACTTAAGGACTAGGCAACTTGTATGGAATTCTTCATCCTTATCACTTTGTCATCCAGGTCTATATATTGGCTTAATTATTGATAGGTAAGTGTTTTAAGGGCCTGGCCCAATATGAACAAGTTCAGAAATCCCCAAACGACTAAGTACATAACAAGTAAAGACGCAGACGGTAGAGAAGTACTTTAGCTAGGGTTTATTCCCATTCATGATCCATTAAGTATGTGGATAGGATGAAGTAAAGTGGCACCTGAGGTTTTTAAAGATGATAGGGTTTGGGGCGTCTTTTGGGTATGGTGTGTTGGGGTTTTTTTGCAGAGGAGGAGGTAGGCACTAAATGAGTAATATGTATATCATTACCTGTTTCTTAATAACTTATCAGTTATATTTCAGGTACTCCAGTCACTGGAAATGACAGTACTAACATTTTCTTATGTACTTTAGTTTGCTCCCTTACATGTGCAATTAATAAATTATTTTTTTTAATTAACAGTGCTAGCTGCCGTAGACCAATCAAAGGAGCTGCTAGCCGGCCTATAGAGCTCAGTGACTTCAGAATGGAGGAAAGTTTCTCTTCCAAGTATATTCCGAAATACGGTACCTCAACAGACATCAAGTCAGAGAAACCACCAATAAAAAAGGAACGCTCCATTCTCCTATGGATAAAAATTCTTCTGCTTGTTGTTGTTTCGGTCTTCTTGTTTTTGGTCTATCAGTCTATGGAAACTAATCAAGGAAATCCTTTCTCTAAATATCTGAATATTGTCTCTGGGGAAGGTGCCAAGTGAGTATCTTTCAGAAAGGCACGCCCGATTTGGTCTCCTGTTTTTAATTGTAGAGAACTCTTCTGCCCTCTCATCGGCTCAAGGACATCCTACAGATAATGTGATTGGAACCTGATAAATGGAGCAAGATAATCTAAGTGGACATCAGTAACTTTCTGGACTTTGGACTAGTAGGAGATCACTTTGCCATAGGAGTAACATTTTTTTAGATCTTGAACTTTTTGTAGGCTTTATTTTTTTAATGTGGACATCCTTTAAATTCATTTTTGAGAAACTGTATATTTGTTTTTGTGAGAACTTGGAAGCTGAGAAGGGCAAAATTGTAGTAAAATGTGAAGCTGTGTTTTTTTTTAAGCTTTTTCTTTGTACAGAGAAGAGGTTGTACTTTTGTCTCTATAGATTATGGTGGAGGATCTTAACACAGGTAATAAAGGGAAATGCATTTTTGCAGTAACAGTAAAACTGCATTTGATATCTTTTAACATATAGGGGAGAGTACAGCGATAACCTTTTCTGTAGATTACTGTAATTTTTTAGTAAATGTAACTGTAAACCTGTTTGCATTTCTGTAAGTCTTAGCATCCTATTAGTAACTCTGTTTAAGTGTAACATCATTTTTTAAATGTATCCCTTCATTTTAGTGCTTATATAGTGTTGTAGGAGCTGAATACAAATCCAGTTGGCAACAGATGTCTTAGAGGAACTTATTTATTAGCAATATGCATGGAAAATAAATTTTGCATCAAATATAATTTGCTACTAAAAATACTTATTGGGTCAAGGTTGTTGTCTGAAGTAATTCTAAATTCTGAATTTAGCAGTCTTTCTTTAAAAAGCAAGGTCTTTCCATCACAGCTTGATATGATTATCTTTGAATATCCATGTAGAGAGGTATTTCTCAAAGCACGAAAATTCCATATGAAGTCTTATTCTTATATGAAGAGGGCATTGCTGCATTTTCTGCTACAGTTTCATCTTTTAAGGTGAGATTTACTACTCTTTCATGCAGTTGAATATTTTTTTCTCAGTGGAAGCATGCTGAAATACTCTACATTGTGTAATTAGTTGAGTGAGCAGCTGACTTCACTACTACCAATGAAGAGTGATAAGCAGCAACTTAAAGTGAATGAATACATTTTGGTGTGCTTAAATCTGCAGCATACAGATATTTGATCTCATTGCTTAGTACAAAATCACAGTAAATCACACTTTTTATTCTTAAAGTGCTACTTATGAAAAGCTGAGGACATTAGTTAATGGAGTCTGTACCTTTTTGCTGTTGCCACAATGTTAATGCTTAGACTGTAGCCATGGGGAAACTCTTCTTTCTGTGAACTTTGGGATAAACATGGTTATTGTTAGCAAAGCAATATGTTTTCTTTCTGTTAAGATTTTTTTTTTTCTTTTAGACCTGTCTTTTGAGTAATCTAAATAGCTAAAACTTGTGTCCATCCTATAGAAGATTGTAACAAGACATTCACTTTTGGTGTCAAAATGCAGAAAAATAAAAGTGATATTAATGTGTGTGGGCTTTCCTTATTAAAATAAATGCTTTGTTGAAAAACAGTGAAAGCAGGACAACTGATGCGTCAGCAGTGTCTTTTTATGCTGCTATAGTCTAACACGATGGGGAGAAATTTTCTGATAATAAAAACCAAGTGGTTCATGTAATCAAAACTTGTAGGGGGAAAATATTGATTATACTTGCACTATAATAAACATAATAGTGTTATACTGTAATGCTTTAACATGTCAGCCCTTTATTTTGAGCGGGGTGGGGGGGAGAAGCTACCTTCACTAGCTCATTAGCTTTTCTGTGCTTAAGGCTTTTTCTTTTCATCTTTAACTGTTTTCACTCCACTTCCTTTGCTCCATGTGTTAATATATAATGTATATTTTTCTCTTCTAGTTACATGAAATACTTTCTATTGACTTCCTTCAGGAATACTATTTAGCATCTTAAAAACAAAAAACAGAACTACAATGCAATTAAATGTCGTCATTCTTTCATTTATGCCCTGTTCTGGAGATTCTCCTGCAGAAACTTCTCGACTTCAGTATTACTTCACACAAGGTAAAGACTTTTCCACATAAGTCCTCAAAGTAATCGACATGCAGTTCAGTTGTAGTTGGAAGACAGTGTATTTACAAAAAATGAGTGAGCTTCTTGAACTTGAATCATTTGATGTTGGGAGATAACCCTGAGAGTAATCTCTTCCCCTTCCCCACCCAAGGTGGATTATCGGTGTTCCTGAAGCTGCTCAAATTATTTTAAAGGAATAAAGTGTAATGCTACTACTAGATGATATTTAATGAGTGCATGTGATTAAAGCCTGGTATTCCTTTTAAAGTCTGTGAATTTTGTTCTGTCTAAAATTCAGAATAAGACTAATAGAGTTGGGTTAAACTTTCAGAATCAATCACCTAGTAAAATAATTCTATGGACTGGTATCCAAGTTCCAGTTGCAAAAAAAGTTGAACTCACATGATAAATATTGTTCAAGTCCCTTTCTGGGTAAGGGGTACGAAAAAAGTCTGAGAAGTAAGAAGCCTGCGTTAGTTTGTAGGTTTGACACCGCTTTTTGAAGCGATAGATCATGCTACTTGTCAGAATGCTGAAAACACGGCAGGTTCTAATTTGCCAGTCTGAGTTAAACTTTCTAACAGTGGGCTTGTGCTTTCCCCTTTAAATTGTGTGCTAATCTCTTAGCATATGCTGAATCTCAGTAATCTGATATCAGGCTGAGAATCACTGGACATATCATTTCCAGGGTTGAGACTTGGTTTATTTGATATGGTAAGGCTGTGGGAGCTTATCTAGTGTTTGAGAGAAACTCTTATGGAGGATCTCAAATTTAAATCCTATGTATGTTCTGAAAGCTTGGTGATATTTTTATGGGAAGTAGCATGATGGATTTCCCCCTTTTCTCATCCCCCTCCCCCCCCAAGCTTGTTCACTATAGCAGTATGCTCAGTACTGCCCTACAGAGTGCTTTCAGGTCCTTCCCAGTCTTGGTCTGTGTTTGGTTTTTGTGGCACAACTATAAAGTTTACAACTAGTTAAAGTTTATATTATCAGTTCCTGATAATTACCACCTTAGATGGCTTGTGTATAAAATGTCTATTTAAAAAAGTCATTTCATTTTGCAGCTTTAGTTCAGAGATACTGAGTAGACAAATACTTTTAAATGACAAACTTCCAAAAGGCTCTTCAGCAGAAAGAAGTATATCTAATGGCAAATGAAGCTTATAAAACTGTGATACACTTTGTGTGGTATTTTTGGCTGGCTTTGATACGGTTGAAGTTTCGTATTTGGCTGAAGAGTTTGTAGTACATTTTTAAAAAAAAAAAAAAAAAACAGCTTAATCTGACACATCCAAGTAGATATGTAGAGCAGTTTTGCTATGTATGATTTTAAATCTTGAGTTTACAGACTTGGATGTTTCAGCATACCTTTAAGTCAGTCAGGAAATATAGCTTTAACTATATGCTTGATGTAGGGATGAAAATCATCCGAAGCATAGTTTTAGCCTTACTGGTCTCTAAAAGGCAAAATGGATTGATTTAAGTGTGCCTATACGTGTCTAAAACTGTGCTATGACTCTGGCTTTTCTTTCTTAGTGAGCATACCAGGCTGTTCTGTACCAATGCAACAGATGCGTGCATGCATGGACATGCCATAGGGTCTACAAGCAATTCAGTTGGTAAAATTGTCCAAAGGTGGCAATATGCCTATAAGTACTATGTGTATAATTATATCTAAAAGATGAATTCCTCAGACTTTCTGTCCTGCCTGAAATTCTTGGTCAGCATTGGTGACTTGTAGTTAAAAAGTGCAACTGTATTGCTGTCTTTACTTCTTTTTTTTTTTCCTGAATAGGAAAATTGATAAAGAAAGGTTTTATGGAAGAAGAATGTAGTAAATGGGCAGGATGAAGGTTAGGAAAGAATATCAAGGGACAGTTATGGTAGTGACTAGTAGGAATAGGAGATATTTCAGTACTTAGTACATTCTAAGGATGTGACAGCGCTAAGCATTCAACTAGCTAGTTTGGATCCTGGTCACAGAGTTTTTTGTCGTCTGAGGCTTGGTGTGGACTGCGAAACCTGCCTAGAGTTCTTAGCTGTTACTGATTCTCTGGAATCACAGTTTAGTACCTCTGGTATTGGTACACTACTTGGGGCGGGGGGATTAGAGGGTATGTGTAGTTATTAGTAACAGGAGAGATGTGGTTAGGAAAACTTTGGAATTGTCAAGCTGACATCTTCCTACACTCCCAAGATTTGAAAAGTGACTAATTAGAAAATGGATTTGATTTACGACGGTTGTCTTTACTATGAATCTGACAGATGATGACACCAAAAGGGTAATGTCTTTCAAGTCTTAATTAGTTATTACCTTCTTTCTGTGGTGGAAGTCATTAAACTAAATGGGTTCAAGTTTCAGGCTGTTCAGCTTTTCCCGGAATGAATAAAAGTAGCAAGAGACTTTCTCTGTAAGAGTTAACCTGTGTTCTTGCTGAATATGCGTTATCCCTATATTTCCAGAGGGATGCATTAAACTGTACTGTTTAATAGTGATTTTCCTACTTGTCCTGCAACTACAAATGGGCTTACAGCTGTTAGAAGTTAATTGTCAGCAAAAAACCAAAGAAATTGTTGTTCTGTGTCCTGTTGTTCTGTGTCCTGTAACTCTAAGTATTAGTACTAGCTGTGCACACAAGTATGTATATGAACAAATATAGTCACACATGTGCAGGAGCAGAGGATTTGGGGGTTAAAAATTAGAAGCTTCAAGAACTGTGATTCTTAATTTCAAAATGATAGCCCAAGTTTCAATCATGTTTAGAGTTTATTAGATACTTCCATTGCTGAAAAAATAAGTATATGTTTAGCTTTTATCTAAAACTTTGCTACCAACAATTGTTTGGATGCAAGTGAGGAGAACAGGACTAGTAATAGCAAAAATGAACAACTTTGGCCTGTCTTCATTGCTGCTAACAGCAATGAAGTGTATGGCACTTCAGCTTCTCAACTGGTTGCTAAACCAAACTATTTAAAGAATGCAAGTTTCAGCTGACCTTTTCCTACTCAGCAGCTGGAGTGTGGCAACTTTTAGTTTACTCAAGAGGGACTTAGCAATGTCACAGGATTCTAGGTTGACTATTGGGCATGTGTCACTTTCCCTGGGTGCGAGTCTGCCTGGATCAACTTTGTGAAGTAAAGCAAGTAGAGCCAAGTCCTAAGGACAGAGTAGCAGGTTGTCCTCTAGGGGAGTTCCCCAGGAGCCACCGAGTTGTCTGAAGGGATCTTTCTTCAGTGTTGCAGTGCTGCTGTGCTCTCAGTTGTGTAGCTTCTCCATGCCCAGAAGCAGCAGCTAGAATCTTCAGTACATCTACTGCTTTACTATCTTTTATGCTTACATTGTTAAAGAGCGCTATTATAGAATAGATGTGATCAAAATGGTGAAAAATTGGAGTTCTCAAACTCTCTGGTTACTGAAACTTGTTTTGTGCCAATTTTATACTGCATAAATTCACTGAAGTAACTGAAATTACACTGCATTAGAAAAGGTATAGCTTAAGGTAATCAAGCCCAAGCATGGCTGCTATGTTAAATAACATTCTTCCTTTAATGAATCAGTAACTGGTGCCGCTTTTGTTGCGAGTGGCTGTTGCCGTTATAACCTAGGCCGTCTCCAGATCTTTTACAGCCTTGTCCTCCAGAGATGAAATGCAGCTGTGGAAGCTGCAGCCAGTGCAGCATTTGGTGGCCTACTTTCTAACCATGCTTGGTCTAACTAACTCTAACTAGGGTGCTGCAATGAGAGGCTGATAAGGAGGGTGAACTCTTTTAAGAGTGGGTTTGCCAGACTGCATAATATAGAGTATTATTAGATGCTGGTGAGCAGAATTAGAATTCAGGATGATACTGTTAACTTTCTTAAACTCATCTAAAAAACAGGATGCTAGTCAAACGGCCTTTAACCTGGAACAACTGCTGCAAAGACAGCATAAATCAACCCTAGCCAGCTGTTAACCAGAAACAGACAACTGTCACACTATTCTGTGTGAGTAGTGGCTATAAAACGTGGTAAGGTGTGTCTCTTGTTTGACATTGCCCTGGGCTCTAACTAGGGCAAACACAGCTGGCTTAGATGCTGTATTTCACAAGTGTGTGGACTAACTGGCAAGCATCCAGAGAAGGGGCAATAAGAATAATCAGAAGTTTAGGAAGAGTGTTTGATCTGAGTAGGCTGCAGTGGTAACTGTCCTGACTACTAGAGAGAGAAACGTCGCGGTGTCATTGGGCATGCAGACAAAAATCGTAGGGTTTTTCTAGCCTACGTTTAGATTCTCTATGCAGTGTATGAAATCTGAATGGGGAAAGCGTGACATCTGGAAAGGTGAAGCAATTTTTTTTTTTTTTTTAGGAACAGCTTAGTGCCCGTGGCCCTTGTGGCACCCTCTGGGCCTGAGTTCAACAGGCTCGTCCTCAGCTCGGGGCCAAAAGGCCTGGAGGA